ATGCGCATAGTCAAAGAGACCTACGCCTACCTAGAACCACACCTCCCTCCAAGAAATCAAACTACAAAGATTGCCTACTCCCTCCCAACAAAACAAGAAAACTTGGATGTAGGGTTTAGGGTTCACTATACTCCCTTCCACCTAGTAGATCCGAATATAAATGCCCCCCTGCCTAAGAGACGCTAAATGAGCAGGTTCCTATCTATCAGAACCTGAAAAGGGTTGTGCTAGGATTTTCCATGCCCGTGGAGTCCACAGCCTCCTTGTAGTACTGCAGCTCCTGCAGGAAAACAAGAGAGAGAGAGAGAGAGAGAGAAAGAGAGAGAGAGAAGAGATAGGGAGAGAGAGACAAACAGACAGACACGCACAGAACTAGAAAGAGAAAGAGATGTGAAAGGGATACAACCCCCCAAAGCCCTAAAGGGCTTACATTTAGAGCTCAGGGTTCGGAGGTTACAAGCCTTATAAACCTTAAGCTCCACCCTTCTGGGAGATTTTCTCCCCATGGATGGGGGCAAGGAAGGCTTAACTGGCAGCTCGGGTCTTTGTAGTTGAGCTCAAACCTAAACCAAATCCTACACCCTAAACCCCTAAACCCTGAACACTAGAGACCTTAAGGGGCAGGCTTGTCTATTTCGTTTTGCGAATGTTTCGCGGACAGCTTAGCTGGAGTCTCAGGTGTCCTCCATGATGTGTTTTTAGGGTTCAGGGTTTAGGGTTTAGGGTTTGGGGTTTAGGGTGCAGGGCTTAGGGTGTAGGGTTTAGGGTTTAGGGTGCTGGGATACACCGGTTGTGGTTTGATTGAACTAAGGCCCGGAACCCCATGGATACCCGTGCGGGCTCAAGCCTCCTGTAGGGTTTGGAGTATCAGGCCCTCTAGACCCTAAACCTGAAACCCTGAATCCCTGACTCCCTGAAAATCTTATTCATTAAACCCTAAAGCCCCCGAAGCCTCCAGGCTCTCTCGGATGTCATCCAGAGCACGATGGGATCCGCGCTTGCGTGGCGCAGCATCTGCGCGGGTTTTATAGGACCCCACCGGAGCCCACCCTGCACCGATAAGGTTGAGGGTGTCGGGCAAAAATACTCTATATAGGCCCAACAGATCTTCGTCATAGGGGTCTCCGAACCCACCCCTGTACCCACAAGAATTCCCTGCTAGGGGTTGCGACTCTTGCGCTCATTTGGGGGCCTTCGGGAAACGTCACTTAGGGCTGAGGGTTTTAGGGCTTCTACGCCCGCCCAAACTATCAAATCCCTGTATGACGCTATGGACACACGTCTTTAGGGGACGCTGCTTGGTTTCAGGGATTATAGGGTTTCAGTCTAGAAGCTTGGAATCTACGGGCTGTGGGTTTAGGGTTTAGGGTTTAGGGGGATTAGGGCTTAAACGGTGTTCAGCTCGGGGGCCCTAAAAGCCGCCGAGCTGCGAAACTCAGACGGGAACCATCTGCGGCTGAGCTCCTGCACTCGAACAGTGTAGGGCTTATAGGCTTGTAGGGTATTTAGAGTTTAGGTTGTGGTTGAGACGGCACCCTGAAGCAGGCTCAACACCTCAACATCTGCTATACCCCCTGAATCCTGCCCAAACGCCGGCTCAAAACTTCAGACCCTACTAGCTGAGCTTCCCGCCCTAATCCCTAATTCTATATCCTAAGGTTGAACTTTTTGGTTAGAGTTTGGCGTTTTGGGATGGCAAAGGTCCAAGAATGTGAGACGCTTACCTACTGTGCATCTAGGGACCTAACCTTAAGCCCGAGACCCTAAGCGCGAGAAGAGCACACGCGAACAGTCGGCACAGCCAGAAGAAGTGTCAAGTTCAAGAGATTTGGGTCCAAAATGTAACCCTAAACCCCAAACCCTAAACCCTGAACTCGAGTCAGCAGAGCGCGCAGAGTTTGGGTTAGGGTTAAGGGATTAGAGGGTTTTAAGGTTTAGGGTCTAGGGTTTAGGGACTAGAGGGTTTTAAGGTTTAGGGCCCAGAGACTCATGCTTGATGCCCGGTGGGTCGGAGTTCTTTGAGAGCTTGTAGCAGTGCTGCTCGAAGGGGGGGGGAGTAAGTGGCCTCAGTGGGGTTCCACCTACACCCTAAACCCTAAACCCTAACACCCTAACACCCTAACACCCAAACTCTGAACCCTAAGCCTGGATAGCATCAACCTGAAACTCAAACCTAGCCTGAGGGGACATGGCTCGGATACCTGGAAACTTAAACCTAGACCCTGAACTCTAAACCCCTGTCCACACCGAGAGGGTCCTACTTCTTCCAATAAGTGTGGATCCAGCCTCCCTAAACCCTAAACCCCCTAGACCCTCAACTCTAAACCCTGGAGGGTTTAAGGCTTGGGCTTTTGCCTTTTCTCAGAGTCCCTCCAAAACTAGAACCATCTGGAGGGTCGGCTGGGTGGGGGGGGTGGGGGGGGTGGGGGGGGGGTGGGGGGTGGTGTTTGGGGTGGATCCCAAAACCCCAAACCCTAAACTCTAAACCCTAAACCCCAGGTCTGGGCCTTGATTGTGCTCACGTCTACCAGCCGGTAGTGCATGTGCCCGGTGAAGCGCGGACAATACTTGTCCAGAAACCGCTTGTCCATGTGCACCTTGGGGGGGGGGTTAGGGTATGGGGTATAGGGTTTCGGGTTTACGGTTGAGGGTTGAGGGCTGCCCCAATCCCCTAGACACCTTCTGTCACCTTCTTGGGGGCTTAAGGTCATGGGTTGGGGTTCAGGGTTCAGGATTTCGCACGCGGCACGAAACGAAACTCCTGCGCCGTCTCCAAAAGCCAAACTCAACTAAGAACAATGAAAAACGGCAAGCAACAGGTGTTTTCGAATCCCCTTAGCTCTTTTCACCCGACTCCAAATTTTAGGGTTTAGGGAAGGTTCGGTTCTTTTTCGGAGGGTTTTAGAAGGGGTTAGGGCTTAGGTTGGGCTTAGGAACTTGGGGCTTCGGAGGTTTCGGGTTGGGACTACACTGTACTGTACAGGTTCTTAGCGGGGTGAGAAGCGGACTAAGTTCTGAGTGCTTTGAAGGGCTTAAAGACTTAAAGAAGTTGAGGGTGTTTTCGGGGCCCATACGGACGCAGCGTTTAAAATAACATGTTGTTGAACGTGGCTAAACTTGTTGTAAACCCTAAGCCCGAAACTCCATAAACCATTATGGTTGACTTGGAGACCCTCGTGCGGGAGAAGGTGAGAATTTGGGATGTTGCCCCGTATACGAACAGTCCTTAACAAGGATTATCATGAGGGAGGGGGGGTACCATAATCCCTACTAAGGACTGTAAGTATAAGGGGGAACATCCCAACCCATAAACCCTAAACCCCAAAAAATAGTCAGTATAAGGGGGAACATCCCCAGTGACAATTCCAAAAGCCATGAATGTCCGCGCTTGGGAGCCGGGCTGTGTTCCCGGCCAAGACCCCCTTGCCTTGCTTCACATGCCTCACAAAGGATTTAAGGTTCAGGGTTTAGGGTTTAGGGTTCAGGGTTTAGGGTTTAGGGTTTAGGGCAAAAGGGATCCGTTGAAGGTTTGCGAAAATAGGGGATCCCTAACATCGACCCCCCAATAGTAGGATTCAATAAGCGCCCGAAGAAGGTACGCCTAATTTCGGAACCCACCAGTTGAGTAAAGGGTTTATGACGTTAACTTGGAGGTATATGACGGCACTTTGAAGTAGGGTTGTAAGTACCCCCTAAGTAAAGCCAGAACCATACTTAGCCTACTTACAACCCTACTTACAATTAAGTTCCCCTGAACCTCCAAGTAGGGCTTGGAGCCCTAAACGTAAACCCCAAACCCTAAGCCCTAACGCCATTTGGCCCGGACCTCTGCCCTAAGGACACCGCGCCCGCTCAAACAATAGAGGAGTTTGGGATTTAGGATTTATTGTATGCCATAAACCGTAAACCATAAACCCTAAACCCTAAACCTAAACCCTAAACCCTAAAACCCTCTTTTGGGTTACGATACCTCCGAAAGGGCATCCTTCACTATAAGCACTAAACGCGATCTCCCCTCCGCTCCGAAAACACGGGATGGAGTGAGTGCTTGGCCTCCCCTGCGCCTAGACCTTAAACCCTAAACCCTAAACCCTAAACGCACCGTCTGGCGCCCGATCGTGTAGAGGGTCTTGCTTTACTCTTATACTCTCTTTTTTTATACCCTAGAAACACACCATAATGCATGTTGAGGCAGACGTAAACAAAGAATTAGCCAAAGCGAAAATGAGTTATCTACATGTGCTCACTTGTCTATGCATACATAACCGAAACATGAATTACCACATGTATGAATGTATGTATACATACATACATACATGTATATATATATATATAGATGTACATATATATATGTGCTATGCATGTGCATGGCCATGTGTTTTTCATATTTTGCTAAATTTGAGGCCGTTCTGGCCTCGACAAGAACTCGTGGAGTATTCGATCTGCATCAGCGGAGCTGATCGTGGACTTCCGCACCTCCCCGACTAAGGCTCTGGCTTCGAGGCTTAGGGTTTAGGGTTTAGGGTTTAGGGTTTAGGGTTTAGGGTTTAGGGAACCTGAACCCAATGCGTTCTAGGTAGACCAACAGCCCAATTTGGGGCACTGGACAGCGTTCGAGGTTTCCCCTTCGACTGTCGACTTCTGGCCTTCCGGCTTCAGGGCGTTCAAGGGCATTGGGGTGGCCCAGACCCCCTCATCCTCCCCGAGACCCAGGAGTAACCTAGGAATAAACAGGGTGCACTTTTTGGCTTTTGGGGGGTTATAAGCGAACCCCAACCCCAAAGAAAAGGAAATAAGGTCCTAGTCTCATTAAGGTGTACTTGGTCCCTTGTTAAAGGGCACTTGGGGGGTCCGGGCAGGGATAGGGAGCAACGGTTAAGGGTTGTCTAGGGTGAAAAGACGACTTCGGGCAGGTGCGCGTGACAGAGTTCTCCAGGCTCCTTTATGTGCCCTGTAAAATGTAGGCTCAACAAGCATCAACGCTCTACCAGTAAGGGTTTCTAGAGCCGAGAGTAACCTAGGAAAATCAGGGCCTACTCTGGGTCCTAGGTTTAGGGTCGAAGGCTTTAGGAAGCTCCTAACCCTAAACCCTAAACCCTAAACCCTAAACCCTAAACCCTAAACCCTAAACCCTAAACCCTCCTTCTGCAGCTTCAAGGAGTTCCTGGCTTTAGCGGTCGCAGTGCGACTTCAGCGGCACCCAATCCTGCGCCCAACCAAACCCTACACCCCAAACCCCAGCGAAATCAGAACAAAACCCTAAACCCTAAACCCTAAACCCTAAACCCTAAACCCTAGACCCTAAACCCTACACCCCTGCACGTCCCCAAGTCGAATTCGTCCGAAACCCGAAGCGCAAGGACCCCAAATTCCTAAACCCTAAACCCTAAACCCTCAACCCTCAACCCTAAACCCTAAACCCTAAACCTAAACCCTAAACCCTAAACGGTGCCTCGTCGGCAAGGTTGCCGGGCTCGGCAGACTTGCTCGCGCTGTCCCAGCCGAACTGCCTCTTGCACCAGTCGTTCATGCCTCAGCTCAGGGTTTCTAGGGGTTTAGGGTTTAGGGTTTAGGGTTTGGGGTTTAGGATTTAGGGTTTAGGGTTTGGGGTTTAGGGTTTAGGGTTGAGGGTTGAGGGTTGAGGGTTGAGGGTTGAGGGTACAGGGGGGGCTCTAGGGGTGGGTTTAGAGTGCAAGGGTTCATGTGGTCAAGGGAGCGGGGCATCATGGCAGCTTCCTTTCGGCTCCTGGGTGCGCCCCGAGATGTAACACACAAACTCTGTTGATCCGAGAAAAGAACGCTCAACCCTAAACGCTTTAGGGTTTAGGGTTTAGGGTTTCCGGTTCTATAGACCCTAAACTCTAGACCTGGAAGAGTGTGTGACCGAGTTCTATAGGTGCTACCGCGGAATGATTCACTTCCACTCTTCACCCCCCCCCTCCCTCCGAGGTTTGGCACCCAACCCCACAATCAACCCAAACCTTTCTCAACCCGAACCCCAAATCCTTGCACCCCCTATACGTAAGACCGCAAAATCACCCCTTGAGCATACCCCTACCACCCTAAACCCCAAGCCCCAAATCCGAAACTTTCAACACTTCAGCCCCCTCATGCCGTTCATTCCCGTGGCCATCGAGAACCTCATCCGGCTGGTGGATCACCTGAGAGCTTTGGGGTTGCGGGTGTATGAATAGGGGCTTAGGGTTTAGAGTTTGGGGTTTAGGGCTTAGGGTGTAGGGTTCGGCGGAAAGGGTTTTTGGCTCAAGGGCAAAGGCTCAAGGCGTATGGCTGAGGACTTAAGGCTTAGGGTCAGTTGGGGGCTTGGGGTTTTTGAGGGTTTAGGGTTTGGGGAATGGGATGCTTTAGTACTTTGGTATACAGGGCGGGGGCTCCAGCCGCCACGATTTGCGGGCACCTCACGTTGGTTATTGTTTTTTTTTTTTTTTTTTTTCTCTTTTAGGGGGGGGGGGGGGGGGGGGGGGGGGGGGGCGTCTTTCGGTTTAGGGTTTGGGGTTTAGGGTTTAGGGTTTCCCTCGTTCCGGGGTTGTTTTATCAGCCATCTACTCCTGGCCCAGTCTGATGGCCTGCGCCCCCACCCCCAGAACGAGTACCTTAGCAGATGTTAACTTATAAGCCTGTATGGTCATTTCTCTAAAATGTAGTCCCTTTTCGGGGTCCTTGTTATAAGGCGGCCACTGTAATTTAGGAGACCACGAAGCAACCATAATGGACCATAATTTAGAGAACTGCCCATAAAACTCACCCAAAAACAACAAGTACCCGTAAGAGGTACCGAAAAGTCTGTGCTCTTATTTGGAGCTATGTCCGAGAGCTGCGATCATGCATGGTGCAAGTATATTTGGATAAAGAGGTCATCAGGACTTCTGTCATGCAGACTTACCTGGCACCCTCTTGACAGTTTAGTAGTAACTACACTTAATTTGTCGGTAGAACCCAAAACTGCAGGTAAAGAGGGTCCCAGGTAGATGCTTCGGGTCAACCCTAAACCCTAAACCCTAAACCCTAAACCCTAAACCCTGAACCCTGAACCCCAAACCCTTAGGGTCTAAGGCTTGAGGTGCAGGTGTCTAAACTTTAGGGTTCACCCTCTCCCTTCCTCCCAGCCCCCCCCCCCCCCCCAAAGCGAGCGCATCCCAAGGCAGCCGCAAACCTCTGAAATCTCCGAAACCCTCAACCCTACACCCTACACCCTAAACCCTAAACCCTAAACCCCAAATGTTCAAACATTCCATGCAGGCCCAAGACAAGATCAGGTCCCTCGGCCACGACATTGAGGTCGCCGTCGGTGACAATGACGGCAACCTTCATGGAATAAAAGGAGCAAGGGTTAGGGTTTAGGGTTTAGGGTTTAGGGTCTAGGGTCTAGGGTCTAGGGTTTAGGGTCTAGGGTTTAGGGTTCAGGATTTAGGGTTTAGGGTTTAGGGAACAAGCAACCTCCCACCGTCCACCCCACTTAGGGCTTACCATCGCTGCAAGGCACACAGGTATGCGTTGCTCAAGTGTAATGATCGTTGTCTATCCTGTTTCTTCGCTTTCGGGCTTCAACATTTCAAGGACACCAATGGATGGTTCAGAAGGCTGTAGAACCGAAGCACAGACCAGTTGGTACGACTAAGTTGTGTTGCCGCTGATTTGGCATGCGTACATGCGAATATCAAATACACCCCATTTGATGAGCAGCGTGGACAAATGAGAGGTGGGATGGTTTGTCAGATATACTTGATGAGTCTAGGTTTGATGCACCTTTTGGGGGGGAACCAAAGATGGAGGATGCGGAGCGTCAGACAAGGGTTTTGGACCATAAGGGAGTACTATTAGTAATTACTCGACTCCTATATTAAACAAGATGGAAGGACAGACAACTAAAACCACTTGTGCGTGACTTCCTGTGACGCTCTCCGCTCCGTTCAGCGTTGGCCTCCCCCACCCCCAAGAGAAACCTGTGACCGAAGCAATCTCCCTTTGATTTCTAAGCTGCGTCTATCACTAAATAGTACCAGCAGATAGCTTGCGCATGCCAAATTTGTCGAATATGCCAAACGCAGCTCACGCTTGGTGTGGAAAGAAACCCTGCGACCGTCGGTCAGAAGGAGAGGTCGCTTTAACGTAGTCGTCTAATCCTTCTTTCCTCCCAACCGATGCCACGACCCAAACCCGAAAGTTACCCTAAACCCTAAACCCTAAACTCGAAACCCTAAACCCTAAACCCTAAACCCTAAAACCCGAAACCCCAAGCCCTAAGCCCCGCCTCCAGCAAAGTATCCGGGCCAGGGCCACCCTCACCCCCCAGTCCTGTCATTTCACAGTCGACCCACACCAGCGCCTGACACACGTCATGCGCTTGCAGGGTTTAGGGTTTAGGGTTTAGGGTTTAGGGTTTAGGGTTTAGGGTTTAGGGTTTAGGGTTTAGGGTCCAGGGTTATAAAGCTTAGGGCAGAAGGAGAAGGGAAGAAGGAACAACTACACTTCCGCCTGTGTAAAACCATCTACACTTTCATAGAAACCCTATGCCAGCCTAAGCCCTAACATCTACTGACAGTTTGAACCCTAAACCCCTAACTTCCAAATAATCTTTAAAACCGTGCGATGCCTCACTTTCTGACACCGAAACCTGATGTTCAGCAGTTCATCCGGTCCATTTTTCCAACCGCCGTGCCAGCGTGATACCCTGAACAGAACAACAGGCTTGGACTGAATGAAGCCCCCCCGCCCGACCCACAAAATAACCGCCTATTTGCTACGCGTGCGTTTAATACCCCATACGACTCCAATCCTTGTTACGGTATCATAATAAACCCTGAACCTTTTTCAGACTTCATTTACCCAAGGAGGGCTTCCCGCCCTTCGCCGCAAAGCTCCGTCAACCGATTGGCTTCGCGTTGCCCCAGCGCCGCACAAATGGCCGCGGCCGGCCCGATGACGGGTGCAAACCTCGTGACTTGCCAGTGCTAAGTACTACGAGTGCCACCTGTTTCACCACTACTACAGTCTACTACGACCTACTACGACCTGCTGCTGCTGCTACTACGCCACACTTTTGACCAACCTGAAAAACCCTGTGAAACCGAATCCCTGAACAGCCCTGATCCCTGAAAAAGGCTAAGACGACAGGCAACAGGACGGTGAGCACCACGTGCCCGCAGGGGCTGGTCATCAAGAGGTAGAGGAGCAACGCCATAGTGAGCACGCAGGAGTCCTGTTGCAGGGCTGAGGGTGCTAGGATAGGGAACGTAGTCGCCCTGGAGCTTGGGTTTAGGGTGCCCTAAACCCTAAACCCTAAACCCTAAACCCTAAACCCTAAACCCTAAACCCTAAACCCTAAACCCTAAACCCTAAACCCTAAACCCGGACCCTAAAAAACATACGCCGAGGGTCTACCGTCATGAACATGACCGAGCCGTCGGCTTTTGGGCCCCAGAGTGCCGCGATCATCTCCTTGGGGGTCTGGTAGTGGAGGTAGGCGTGGTAAATCCTGGGCTGTTTAGGGTTTAGGGTTTAGGGTTTAGGGCTTGGGGTTTATGGTTGAGGGGTTAGGGTTTAGAGTTTAGGGTTTATGCGGCCATGAACTTCAAGGCTTGGAGGGCTCATAAGGGCACCTTACACTCGGCTGCCCTGGAGTCATGGGTGTGCGTGTGTCTTTTATATGGGGGTTTCCGAAATTAGGGGTACTATTTTCCCCTCACTGTTAGTACATACCCTGATGAGGATGCTCATCAATAAGGGAATCCTACTGTTGGGGAAAAAATCTATGAAGGGCTCCTTATTTGCCAAAACCCCCCCCCCCCCACATGAATAGCAACTCAGCATCAAGAAGTAGTAGCCTGCGGCCGCTGGGAGCATGAAGGCCCGATAGGCCCCCTTCAGCAGTCGGATGCTTTGCTCGGCCCCTGCCGGCTTCTCAGAGCCTGCCGTGAGGCTTTCGGCTGGGCTCGGGGCTCTGAGCACGAGGTTTAGGGTTTAGGGTTTAGGGTTTGGGGTTTTAGGGTTTTAGGGTGTAGGGTTTGGGGATCCGGGTTTAGGAGGATGACCTACTGTGAATGAGAAGGGGGTGGTTTCAAAAGCCCCTCAAAACCTAAACCTAAAGCCATGGTGGGAGCTCTGCTATTTCCCTGACCCCTCCACTACTGGGATGGCCCTTAACGCTCTCTGAACAATAGTCCTGCTCATGACCCTCTTAAACCCAATAAGGGACAATATGGAATATATCCCGAGGGCCTACCTAGAACTCTCTATAGACCTAAGCCCCAAACCCTAAACCCTAAACCCTAAACCCTAAACCCTAAACCCTAAACCCTAAATCCTAAACCCTAAACCCTGATTACCCTAAACCCTGAGCACCTGGAGACGGAAAAGGCCACAGCAAGATTCCCAGCAATGGCAAGCCAGGCCCTGTCAGCAGACCAGCACAGATCGTCCAAGCCCTGGTGTCGGAGTCACCAAAGAACACATAGAGCCTGAAGTTAAGGAAGGTTTAGGGTTGATAGGGTTTATAGGGTTTAGAGGGTTTAGAAGGTTTAGGGTTTAGAGGGTTTAGAGGGTTTAGAGGGTTTAGAGGGTTTAGAGGGTTTAGAGGGTTTAGAGGGTTTAGAGGGTTTAGAGGGTTTATAGGATTTATAGGATTTATAGGGTTTGTAGGATTTGTAGGGTTTATAGGCTGCACAGGGTTTACAGATTTTAGGGCTCACTGCAAGAAAGTGAGTCTGGCTGGTGGCCACGAAAAGACCCCAAAAACAAAACATCGGTTATTGTCGGGACGGTCATTCCAGTGAATGGCGTCGGAGGTTTCGCCCTGCCAGTCGATTGTCGAGTTGGGCTGGCGTTGTCTATGTCAAAAACAGGGTTTAGGGCTTAGGGCTAGGGTTTAGGGTTAGGGGCTTAGGGTTAGGAGTTAAGGGTTTAGGGTTTAGGAGTATAGGCTTTAGGAGTTCAGGGCTTACGGTTTAGGAGTTTAGGGTTTGGGGTTTTGGAGGATAGGGTTTAGGGTTTATAAGGTAAAACGAACCGTCACCTGGAAAGAGCATCCTGGGCACTGCACCAGCGTGCTGGGCACCACCAGAAGTATGGTCATCCAGATGCGCCCCTTGGACGTCACGCCCGTGCCCTGCCCCATGAGGGCCGCAGGCACCCACATGACGGGGAAGGTGGTGCTGATGCCCAGAAACTGGCCCAAGAAAAGCACCTGAGAATGCACACAACAGCGCTGTGGATGGGTTTTTGCACAGGGCTGAGTTAGAGGTGCAAGTGATGGAGCTTCAGATAGATAGCCCTAAACCCTAAACCCTAAACCCTAAACCCTAAACCCCAGATCCAAGTGGATCTGCGCTCGTGGCTGCCATAGGCCAAGGCACCAACACCGGCCACTTGACTAAGCCTGTGGCACCGTAGCGCCCCGCCTCTGGGGGTTTAGGGTTTAGGGTTTAGGGTTTAGGGTTGAGGGTTTAGGGTTTAGTCTTCAGGGTTTAGGGTTCAGTAAGGGTTATGAGGAGGGACCCCTAGAAGGGATACTTAATCTTATTTCCCTATAGAACCCCTATGTAGACCTTATATCGTCCCTATATACCTAAGTAGCCCCTAAATAACAACCTCTAAAGAACCCCTAAGGTCCCGCATAAGGGTCCCTCCTTTAGTCCCTTGAGTTCAGGGTTCTAGAAGCCGCAAAAGGCCACTGGAGTTGGGCTTGAAGGGTTGAGGTCTGGGCCTTGGGTTTCCCCTTGTGCGAACAGTCCTTAATAGGGTTTAGGGTTTAGGGTTTAGGGTTTAGGGTATAGGGTATAGGGGATGGTAGGGGTACTGTAATCCCTATTCAGGACTGCTAGTATAAGGGGGAACATCCTAATCGAAGCCTCAGAATACGCCCTGCCTCGGCGTACATGAGTAGAAACATGGGGAAGATAAGGGTCGCGATCAACCCCCAGGCCTTTCTCCACAAGGGAATTTTAGGGTTTAGGGTTTTTAGGGCTTACAGGGTTTATAGGGTTTAAGGTGTAGGGTTTAGGGTTTAGGGTTTAGGGTTTAGGGTTTAGGGTTTAGGGTTTAGGGTTTAGGGTTTAGGGTTTCGGGTAGCTTTATATGCTGATTCGGCTTTTTTTTCAGTATGTTGATTGCCAGTACTCTTATTCTTGTTCGGGTGGTTCTCCCTACAAATTTCGCGCGGACACGAACACACCAAACACAAAACAAAGTAAACAGTTCAACTATTGGGTAGTTCTTTAACATAGGGTAGGGTCCCTTTGGGAGTCCATTTTAGAAGGTTCCGTGCCACATAGGGACCAACAAAACGGAACCTAATTTAGAGAACTGCTCGATTGGCGAAGTAAGACGCCAACATCCCAGCGGGATCCTCTGTCAATGCGAGCATGAACCTTGGTTTCATAGCAAGTCAAGGTACTCTATGTTCGAGGGGTGGAGTTTGGGGTTTAGGGCTTGGGGCAAACATTCATATTCTAGTATGGGCTCAGGCGGGGTATCCAAGCTTCGGCTCGAGCTTATTGGCAGTTTCTAGTTTAGCTTCTTTGTTTAAAGGGCCTGAGGCTCCGGATTTACGACCTAACAAATGTACAGGCGACCATCAAATCCCCAAAGGAAGTGCAACAGAGTTATAAGGCAACCGTGGCCAGGCAAGGAAGTCACCATTGGGATAGGAGGCAGTTGCTTGAAACGAGAACATAGGGAGAGCATGGTAGTTAGTGACCTCTCAGCGCACAAACATCTGGTCAGGTCATGGCAAACCGATGAACCGCAAAAAACTCAATCACCTCTTCAGTCTTCGCAAGAATTACGAGACAGGTACGTCCAGGCGACAGCCAAGGCACTGCGTGAGGATGCAAGTGAAGAACCCACCCAACATGGGCTCATAAGAATGCAGGCCTGCTTCTTTCAACTTTGTAACGTTGCCCTGGATGCAGTAGAACCTTACCGGGCATGCTGCGGAGCCAAAGCAAATGATGTTTGGGGTACATCTCCTGGGTTTGAATAAACAACGCCAGGACTCAAAGAGGCGGATGGGTCAGTGTTGACGTGTTTCTGCTAGTAGCATGTACCATTCGGCAGAGTGGACCCCACTTTTGGGGCTCTCAGAATTCTGGGTTTGGGCGGTTTGGGGGTGCTTCTGTCTGTGTCTGTGTGTCTGTTTACGGATTTCGAATTCACACGTGTGTGTGTGTGTGTGTGTGCATGCATGCATGCATGCGTGCGTGCGTGCGTGCGTGCGTGCGTGCGTGCGTGCGTGCGTGCGTGCGTGCGTGCGTGCGTGCGTGCGTGCGTGCGTGCGTGCGTGCGTGCGTGCGTGCGTGCGTGCGTGCGTGCGTGCGTGCGTGCTTGCACGGATGTGGGTGCTTGTTCGGGTGAACGTTCTCGTGCATGCCCATGGGGGTTTCCCAACATAGGGGTACCCCTAAAAAACTGAGTGTTTATAATCTTTGTTCTAGGAACCCCACAAAAGGGTACCCCTAGATTTGGAAACCCCCACATGTCTCCAGAAAGATCAAGCCGCTGGTACTTCTTGATGGTGGCGTCTTTGGCCATGACCACCTGCATCGCCAGGTTCTTACGTGAATTTGGGGTCCACCCTTGGCGTTTACCTTCAGAATGACACTACATCCCTGCTCCCCCCCCCTGTCCGCAGCCAATAAATATATGGCAACCTAAATTGCTAATTATAGAGGGATTTTCCGACTCCACCAAAAACTCACTTGAAAAAAGGTTTCTTCCCCCCAAGTACGCCAAGCCACCTGCGTAGCTGTAAAGGCGCCCAAGCCCATGGCCAGCGCGCATGCGATGCCCAGGCCCCTGGCCAAGCCCATGGCGGAGGATTCTGCGGCCACCGAGATGGGGGGAACTAAGCGACCAAAGATGGCTGTGTCGGGATCTCGCGCGCGGAAAAAGGAGCTTCAAGAGGTTGAAAAAGGGTTGAGGGAATTCAGGGTTCAGAGGATGAGAGGTTTAGGGTTTCAAGGATCCAAGATGAAGGCAACCAACTTAAAGAAAATGGAGATCATTTGAGTATGCTCCAAAATACATAAAGACCCCCTGATCTATACGCCAAAAAATACCATGATCCTTCGTATGGGAACCTCAAAAAGAACCCTCAACTGGGGACACTCCCATCTAGGGGCATGAGAAGCTCCATCGTGGGCCTTGCATGCACGAGTGGCTCGAATTTAATTGCAGCTCCCCCTCATCTTGGGACCCACTACCTAATACAGGGGCCTTACTAAACACAATAGGGTTTTGGGGTTCATTACAGTATACTTATGTAGGGACCATACGGAAATACTAGTAGTAATTCTTCCGGCCCCTAGCCCTATAGTAGGCTGTTCACTACATTCAAAGGATCTTGATTAGCGCCTACTGAACGTTTGGCTTTCAGGGCTTGGGGTGCAGGAAAGTCCTGCCCGCCCCAAACCCTAAACACCCTGGGCTGGTTTAGGGTTTGGGGTTTAGGGCTTAGGGTTTAGGTTTCAGGCCCAATAGCAGCCGCAGATCCCAATGGATAATAATGAAGTGTGGGGCCTGTACTACTCGTACCCCCCCCCCCCCATCCCCCCCAACGAAAGCAAAAGACACCCAGCATGTTATGGGGTTTGGTTTAGGGTTTTCACACCCATCGCAGTTTACAGGAACCCACTATACTCACTCACCAAGAACAGTAATGTGGGTATGTTCCGAATAGGGATCTATGATCCTTATTCTCGGAAACCCCAAAGCGGGTTTACCCCATGTATTGCTTTCGGGTTTAGGGTTGGCACTCTATCCTGGCTTTAGGATTTAGGGTTTCCCCCAACCCCACCTGTGGTTTGCGTTGGGTTTCTGATTCAGGGCTTAGGGTTCAGGGTTGAGGGTTATATAAGGTTTCTGGTTTCCCCTGCGGTTCGTGGTGGGTTTTCGGGTTTGGGGTTTCCCCTCTCCCCCGCTGTGGTTCATGGTGCGTTTCGGGTTTGCACTCAGGGCTTGGGGGGGGGTAACCCTATAGACCCTAAACCCTATAAACTCTATAAACCCCATCAACCCTATAGACTCTATAAACCCTGCAATCCCTATGAAAACCTATCAAAACCCTGTAAGCCCCATAACATAAAGACCCAACGAGCGCAACGATGAGCCTCCTCCAATAGCTTGGGCGGCATTTCCGAATCGCCCGTTTTGTAGCCTCGCGGGCACAAGAGTTACGGGTTTTAGGGGGTCTAGGGTCCGATCCTTGGGGAGAAAGTGTCCTTATATCGGGTTTCGGGATTAGGGTCCATAGGGGTTCTAGTCATGTACCCACAACAAACAACATCTGTCTCGGAAATAGCCTGCAAGCGTAGAGGTTCAAGGGTTTTGAGATCAAAAGGCCAAAACGGCATTGTCATAACCTTTCTCACCTGTAATATGATGAGGAAATGTGGAAGCCCGAACAGCTAGCAGGTCTTCAAAGGCCCTTAAAGCTATGGCGGGTGGGCTAGTTGGATGTCAGGAATCCCTGATTCAATAACAATAAAAACAGCATGGGCCCTCGAGTAAACTCCGGAGCCCTATGTGCTAGCTTGTGGCCCTAAAGCGCACAGCATAATTCTAGGATGGCCTCTGAAAAATTCCAAAGCCTGATCCTCTTAAACCCAATGAGGGAAAATATGAAACATCCTAAGGGCTTACCTGGTAATGATCACTGTGCTGTGCTGTTACTTGGGCGGCTAAGGGACATCGTCATGGGTTCTTCGGGTGTTCAGGTCAACAAAAACTGCGTGCCATCACTGGGTCAACACAAACCTTTGAAGCAACTCCTAAACATGCTTAAGCTAGCCACCCAGCCGAAATTGGCCAGCAGCCCCTGTTCCGTCCCCCACCCCTCTCCCCCAAACAACTAGACCCAAGAGTAACCTAGCAATGAAATGGGTGCCCTTTTTGGTTAAAAAGGGGCCAAGAAGGGAACAAGGGCCAACGTACTCTATAGGTCCTCGAAAACCAAGCAACGGGCCCAACACTGGTTCAAAACGAACCAAAGCCGGTGAGTAGGGTTTAGGGCTTCGGGTCGAAACCCTCAACCCTAAACCCTAAACTCTAAACCCCAAACCCTCAACCATCAACATCAAAACAAGAAACCTGCCATCCGCAGCGGCGATGGCACGCTGCGGCCTTGTGTCAAGAATCAGCTCGGCATTTCTACGGTCAGTTGTTGAACTTGTGCATGGGTGGTTGCTGAGTGTCTCTGCGCGCTAGCGCCTGCTTTGCACAGCCCTGTTCAAGGCTTCGTGAATGCCTTCAACGTCGCTGAAGGCCTATGATGCCACTCCTGAGCCCGAAGCCCCAAACCCCTGGGCCAGGGTTTAGGGTTTTGGTTTAGGGTTTAGGGCTTAGGGTGAGGCATTGGCCAGTTGTGAAGACATGCCCACCCCAAGGTCGCAACTCACTGCGAGCCAAAAGCTGGCCAAAGCCAGAGCCAGCCAAACCAAACTTTCACATCGACTAGATTCTCGGGACTTGTGGCTAAGGCTGCACGTTGGGGTATTCCAGGCCCAAGGGCCTTCCTTATCGAACGGGTTCAGGCTATCTCGGTCATAAAATGGGAGCTGTACGATGGACACTTGGGACGCTTGAAACCAAAGGGAGACTGCAGGTTTTCCGTTGGGGGCGTTCTAGGCCGGAAGGCTGGGCTTTCCGCAGCATAGCTTCAAGTCCGAACAGAAGATGAACACATCGGACGCTTGGGACGATCGAACCATGTGGGTGTGCACCGAAAGGGCAAAGGTTCCAGGGACAGGGTCTCGCGTCGGGGTATTCTGGGCCGAAGGGCCTCCCTCAACAGTGAATCTCGTCGATCCAGAATTGGCCGGCTCCTAGGCCCTTGCAGGGCACCTTCCAGGGTGCCGGCAACCTGCCACAGCAGACCCAAAAGCACCAGAAAACGATCTTTTCGCACATGCAAAGGCTGAAGAGCCTGAAGGCCCCCTCTCCATCAAGAAGGCCGCAATCGGGAGAGGCTCAAAAAACCCTAATTAAACCCTAAACCCCATAAACCTCCTAAACCCTAAACCCTAAACCCTAAACCCTAAACCCTAAACCCTAAACCAGAAGCTTGGCGACCTTGTGCCTGCCGTGGTCTCGCTGAGCGCTCGACTGCGCCCGCCTACCCAACAGAGGCGAGAGAGGTGGCGGGCTTAGGGTTTAGGATTTAGGGTTTAGGATTTAGGGTTTAGGATTTAGGATTTAGGGTTTAGGATTTAGGGTTCAGGGTTTCGGGTTCGGGGTTTAGGGCAACAAGTTGTTGACCTGTAGTCTGTGCATCGGGCTGACGCGTCCTGCAAGTTGACCTCGGATGAAGCCTGCGATTGCGGGAGGCGAGTTTTTTAGGGTTGATGGTCCAGGGATCGCTCAGTTCATGTAGTCCACAAAGACCGGAAGTATTCCTTTGTAGGGAACCCTAAACCCTAAACCCTAAACCCTAAACCCTAAACCCTAAACCCTAACCCCTAAACCCTAAACCCTAAACCCTAAACCCTAAACTACAGGTCTTGAAGCTGGAGGAGGTAAAGCTTTACTTCGCGCACTGTGCTCACCAGGGTCGCAAGTCGTGACGCTAACCTTCGGGTTTTGAGCTTGCTTATTCCCCGGTAGAACCCATACTTGCCTTAAACCCTAACAATTCAGTTCAATTTAATTTTATCAATGTTTGAGAAGATGAATTGAACCCCATAATGTGTCCCCAAAATCCACGGCCCGCCTGGAGACCAGCTGTCAACAGTCCAGCGGCACACGCTGGGGAGAAGCAATGGCAAGGCAAAGCCCCAGGCACGCATAGGAGGTTCAGGGTCTAACTAGGGTTTAGGGTTAGCGCCTGTTTAGGGTTTAGGGTTAGAGTCTAGGGATTGGGAGAGTTTTTTTTTTTTTGGGGGGGGGGGGAGTTGCGGTGAGGGAGTTGGCTGCTTAGGGTGTTACGTGGTTTGGGGCGAAAACCTAAATAGACTTCAAGCTCGAGCACAAGGCTGTGGGATTTCGGCTGTGCTAGAGTTTTAGGGTCTATAGCGGATTTGCATGGGCTTTTGGGGGTTTATAGGGTTTAGGGTTTAGGGTTTAGGGTCTAGAGTTTAGCCTTCAGGGTTATATAGACGGCTTTGAGGCTTCAGGAGGCTCTTAGGCTTTAGGCTTCAGGGGTTTCCCTAAACCCCAAACCCCAAACCCCAAACCCTAAACCCTAAACCCTAAACCCTAAACCCGATTTAAACTCCAAACCGGTCTGGGCATGCACAGGCCCTATAAGCCTTGCAAACCCCCGTCCAGTCACCATACTCACCCTAAACCCTAAACCCTAAACCCTAAACCCTAAAAATCGTAAACCCCAAGCCCTACAACATCCCGATGCCAAGACTCAAACACCCTGAGTCCAGCCTTGCTTCAACGCCAGGACCCTCATAAACTATATAGCGACCTGAAGCCTCCACCTGAAACTTTTTGCAAACATTCTGCGAAACCCAGACCCGTAAACCCCACACCCAAAAAACCCGAAAACCCGAAAATCCTAAAACCCTAAAACTCGAAACCCTAAAACCCTAAACCCTAAACCCTAAACCCTAAACCCTAAACCCTAAACCCTAAACCCTAAACCCTAAACCCTGGCCGATGTCTCCAAGAAAGGCGAGTCGAGCTCCCCGCGTGGCGGGGCCCTGTGCTGAGCGGTCCAACCGGTACAGCCTCCCGGAAGCTTCCTATAGCTTTGGAAGGTTTAGGGTTTAGGGTTTAGGGTTTAGGGCTTAGGGTTTAGGGTGGAGAGGGGCGGGGGGGGGGATGGAATTACAACGCAAAAGACCATTGTGTTGCCGCTAACTTT